CAGATATGGAGCCATATTTCTTGCTGCCCTTGTCTGGCCAGTACTGAATACACTTGATCTGATGTACAATAAGATTAATGTTAAAAAGTTTTAGGATGCAGTAGTTCTGTTTTAAAGCATGTGTGCTCATTTGCATGAAATATTAAATTAAATGAAATAAGTGTTTGTTGGTATTTCTTCACCTATATTTCTACAGTGCAACATCAGTTACTGTAGATCTACACATACCTTCCCAGCTTCAGAGAGGTTGGTCGCCATCAAAATTGTGGCAACATTTTCTTTTAGTACCATTCTCCAAAAGTCTTTAATAGTTATATCATTTGTTCCTAAAATAACAATTACAATGGTGACATGAAGTTTACAGTGTTGTGAAACTTATTTCAGTTGAAATGTCTTCCCAATAAATAGAATTGTAGCATTAATATCAATAACAGTTTAACAAAGCATTACATATAGTGATACAAAAGAATATGTACATTTACAATAATATATAAAATAGACCCCTACACAGGGAGGAGATTGGTTACAAAAGCCAAGCTTACCTTGGGTGGCTATGTATGCATTATTTTTCTGGTAACCCTGTCATTAAAAAATCAAAGTCAAATATATTCATCCTCTATAATCAAATTTGATGTATGTCAAACTCACTAATTGTACATGTACAATGTAAAGTACAGACCCAGTGTAACTTAACATTTAGCTAACTTAACATAACTTTAACTTTATTGAAATTATTCATTTTGAATAGAACATAGTCCAATTTATAACTAGATACCAATTCCTAAATACATAAAAAAACATACTAAAACAGTTTAACAAAAGGGCTTGGAAAAATCAGGGAATTGATAATTACTGTATCACATTACCTAACTTTCTTTTATAAAAATACCAAGCTGTATTAATGTGATAGTGTTGCCCATAATGTATTTAAATTTTGAATCTTCATCCATCAAATGGAAATTAACAGTTTTATTTTTTATTGAGTCAAACAATTTGCTCCTAATTGTAATATGTTGGGGGCATAACATAATGGAATTCATTCTCAATTGAATTTGTGTTGCATCGTGTACAGATCCTGTTTTCAGTTTACTTTCAAAGCCACCATGTATCAAAATTTATCTCATATACTAGTAAGTAGTGGGCAAATACTACAAAGAATAAGTTGAATAATTATTGATAACAATGATACGCATTGTAAATTATCTGAAAAGGCAAAGCCAGCTGATAGCCAGCTCTGGAGTTAAGTTACCCATAGACTGTACTTTATATTGTCAATATTGAATTTCAACTAGACTAATAATTTTGGTACTCACATCAATATAGTTAGCATTGATATAATCTGAATTGGGATCACCATTAATCACATCCAATACCACTCTAGAATGATCATCTATATTAAAAAATAAACAAAACTGTTAATCAAAAGAAACACAAAGTAACCACTAGATTATACTTCTTACATACTTTCTACATATACATGTATGGCAGAGATGCACATCCAGATGACTAGTATATTTTAGCACAGTTTCACTAAATTTATTATGTTAAATATTCATAATATCAATGATATACCTGTTCATAACATACTTTGCAGTATTTTGTGACTACCTTAATACATGTTTTTCTGAGCTAATCAGTTATAGAATGCCAGCATTGTGCTCAGAGAATGCCCCACACTGAGATAATTGATTACAGAATGCCCCTACACTGAGATAATTTGTTACAGAATGCCCCGCACTAAGATAATTGGTTACACAATGTCCTGCACGTAGATAATCGATTACAGAATGCCCGCACTGAGAAAATCGGTTACAGATTGCCCAACACTGAGATAATCGGTTAGAGAATGCCCCGCACTGAGATAATCAGATACAGAATGCCCAACACAATGTAATCAAATACAGAATGCCCCACACACAGACATAATTAGTTACAGAATGCCCCTCACCGATATAATTGGTCACATAATGCCCCACACTGAGATAATTTGTTACAGAATGCCCCACACACTGACATAATTAGTTACAAAATGACCCACACTGAGATAATTGGTTACAGAATGCCTCGCACTGAGATAATTGGTTAAAGAATGCCCCATACACTGACATAATTAGTTACAGAATGACCCACACTGAGATAATTGTTTACAGAATGCCCCACATTGAAATAATGCCTTACAGAATGCCTCGCACTGAGATAATTGGTCACAGAATGCCCAACATCGAGATAATTGGTTACGAATGCCCCGTACTGAGATAATTGGTTAAAGAATGCTCCGCACTGAGATAATTGGTTACAGAATGCCCCACACTGAGATAATCGCTCACAGAATACCTTCCACTGAGATAATTGGTCACAGAATGCCTAACACAGAGATAATTGGGTACACAATGCCCTGCACTGAGATAATTGATTACAGAATGCTTCTACACTGAGATAATTGGGTACACAATGCCCCGCACTGAGATAAGAGCTTACAGAATGCCCCACACTGAGATAATTGGTTACAGAATGCCCCACACTGAAATAATTGGTTACAGAATGCCCCGCACTGAGATAATTGGTTACAGAATGCCCCGCACTAACATAATTGGTTACACAATGTCCTGCACTGAGATAATCGGTTACAGAATGCCCGCACTGAGAAAATTGGTTACAGATTGCCCGACACTGAGATAATCGGTTAGAGAATGCCCCGCACTGAGATAATCAGATACAGAATGCCCCGCACTGAGGTAACCAGATACAGAATGCCCCACACACTGACATAGTTAGTTTCCAGAATGCCCTACACTGAGATAGTCCATTGCAGAATGCCCCTCACCGATATAATTGGTCACATAATGCCCCACACTGAGATAATCGGTTACAGAATGCCCCACACACTGACATAATTAGTTACAGAATGACCCACACTGAGATAATTGGTTACAGAATGCTTGGCACGCCCCATACACTGACATAATTGGTTACAGAATGCCCCACATTGAGATAATCTGTGACAGAATGCCCCACACACTGACATAATTAGTTACAGAATGCCCCACACTGAGATAGTCCATTACAGAATGCCCCTCACCGATATAATTGGTCACATAATGCCCCACACTGAGATAATTGGTTACAGAATGCCCCACACTGAGATAATCGGTTACAGAATGCCCCACACACTGAGGTAATTGATTACAGAATGACCTGCACTGAGATAATTGGTTACAAATTGCCACACACTGAGATAATTGGTTAAAAAATGCTCTATACTGAGATAATTGGTTACAGAATGCCCCACACTGAGATAATTGTTTACAGAATGCCCCACACTGAGATAATTGTTTACATAATGCCCGGCACTGAGATAATCGGTTACAGAATTCCACACACTGAGGTAATTGATTACAGAATGACCTGCACTGAGACAATTGGTTAAAGAATGCTCCGCACTGAGATAATTGGTTACAGAATGCCCCATATTGAGATAATCGGTTTAAGAATGCCCCGCACTGAGATAATTGGTTACAGAATGCCCAACATTGAGATAATTGGTTAAAAAATGCTCTATACTGAGATAATTGATTACAGAATGCCCCGCACTGAAATAATTGGTTACAGAATACCCCACACTGAGATAATTGGTTACAGAGTGCACCGCACTGAGACAATTGGTTAAAGAATGCTCCGCACTGAGATAATTAGTTACAAAATGCCCCATATTGAGATAATTGGTTTAAGAATGCCCGGCACTAAGATAATTGGTTTAAGAATGCCTGGCACTAAGATAATTGGTTACAGAATGCCCCACATTGAGATAATCGGTTTAAGAATGCCCCACACTAAGATAATTGGTTACAGAATGCCCCACACTGAGATAATTGGTTAAAGAATGCTCCGCACTGAGATAATTGGTTACAGAATGCCCCACACTGAAATAATTGGTCACAGAATGCCCTGCACTGAGATAATTGGTTAAAGAATGCTCTGCACTGAGATAATTGGTTACAGAATGCCCCACACTAAAATAATCGATCAGTCCGCTAGTGACAATGCTGTCCATTGTGTAAACATTTGTGTTCAGTGGTGGGATTTTTTTTCCTTTACGTGATATTGTGCTCTGCATCTGATGTAATCAAAGGAAAGTGTTTGAATGCCATATAAATGTGAAGCACATTTCCAAAATAACGAAGACTTCGTTGGTAACACTTTTAAACACGTCTATACTGCGTTTCTACAAATGAAATTTATTTTGATTTCATATGTACAACAAGTAAATTTATTTTCATTTAAAACAAATGAGATTTTTAGACAATTTTCATCATCTTTTGAAACACATGAAGTGTTTATGACATAATTTGCCTTCCCTCACAGTGTAGGCAAAGCATATACACTGTACCTTAACTAGAGGGTCTACGGGCAAAGTAAATAATTTAAACAACCAATAAATAAGACCAAACACACACATTTTCGCCCTAAACAATCTAGTATATACTCACAAGAAAGAACATTGCGAAATCTGTTCTTTGATTTGTTCTCTGGAATTTTAGCAGCTTCGTAGGGAATTTCTGTATTTTCGCTTTGAGGCAACAACTGAAAATTAAAAAAATAAGACATGTTTGTATCTTCATTTTAAAAAGTGTTTCGGAAATCAATGACGACTCGTTTCGCATTTTTTTCCTCAAAACGACGTAATATTTCTTTGAGATAATTGGCTAATTTTTCGATGGTTACAATTTTACCCCAATATCGTTTCTGGGGTGGTACTCCAGTATAAGCCCATCCTGTAATTCTCCTAATTTTACATATTCAGGCCCCTGAGCTTATAATCGGGAAAATACGGTATGTAAAAAAGCTTTTAAATGCTGTATTTATTATATCTTGATTTATGGCTAACACCACATTTTAAATATATTCAAATGCACTGTAAACAGTAACAAATAAATGTATTCTGATTTGGTAAGGGACTATGTACACTGTATAAATTAGATCCTAACATGTCAAATATGGTAATAAACATTAGCATAGATCTATATAATGTTTTGATGTAACAAACCTTAAATTGTGCAACAAAATCATTTTCTTCACGTTTCTTAATAACATAATCAGCCAAATCTTTAATTTTAATTGTGTATTGCGAGTTATGTATTGGCTTGGCTTTAGGTTTTGGCTTTGGAGGAAGACTCCTTGGTTTGGCTGGTTCAAAAGTTGGCACTTTTGTTGGCTTTATAGGTTTGTTAGGTTTCACCACATCACGAGCTTTCTTTGCTTCTGTTATATTCATATATTGAGATTCACCAGTTTCTTTATCTGTGAAAGGTGTAATATTATCTATTTAGGAAAGATTAACAACAACAACAATAACTTAGCAGTAAGGTCACAAAAAAGTGTAATTAGAAAAGAATTTAGAGGTCACAGTTAACACAATTAACAAATAAAATAACAATCAATCTCTTCTCTGAGATAGCTCCGCTGTTCGCATTTGCACATTTTAATTAAAAAATTGAAAATATCACTGTAATACTCTTATGTATAGTATCAAAGCAATCGGAAAATATCACTTTTTACCAAAAATTCCAAAAATATTCATTAAAATTAGAGAATTCAAGATATCATTATGAAATGAACAAATCTGAAAGCGGTCAATCTGAGGTACCTATAGGTATAATATCCAAAAATGTCAATTACTGGACAAATGAATAACAGTTTTGCTGTGTACAATTCTGTAAAAGAGTATGCGTATAAGGACTGTAACCACACTACTAATTCAGAGAGACAGAAAAATTGTATTATAGTTTATATATATATATACAATGTCCAGGATATTGTAACCTGCGAAAAGGATCTTACCACTTTCTGAGCTTGTTATCATAGTATCTTCCACATTTGCATATGCATTCTCCAATGTCACATTGCGTCCACTTGCTTCAGATTCAGTACTTCTTTTCTGTTTTCTTTGACGCCTTATATTCAATAACAATGAAAAGCAAACACCACTCAATATTATATAATGCAATATTAAATAAATAACACATTACATTGAATGCAGCAGAATTTTTCCATTTGTAAGTTAACATCAATATTCAATAATACCAATAACTTGCTTAAAGTACTAAAACAGATTGACAAATTTCAATCAAAATATTGGTCATAATGATACACATATGGGAGAGTTATTTTGACTGTTGTTGTTGGATGTACAAGGTTATTATAGGAATTATGCATACAGTGATTATATCAAAAGTATGTATCAAAAGTTGATGCAGTACCATACCACCTGAGCATATACATGTGCTTTTCTGTATTCTCGTAATAATCTCATACTTACTCCTACATACATTTGTATACTTACTTACCTTCGTACAATAAATACTGCAGCTAATACTGCTACAATAACAATAAGAACCATAACAACAGAAACAGCGACACCAATGATAACATCATTTTGATTTTGCGTTAGTTCTATTGGTACCCCGCCTACAAAAATGAATCAAATTTACTACAATTTCTTTGATGATTCTTCAAATGTATTTTGAGAAATTAATATTAATAAATGTCAATTACTTATTGTAATATCACAACAGTTGTAATGTTGCAAAAGAAGTTTAGCTTCCATTCACTCAAAAAACAGCCATAACTGATGGATACAACCATGTACATTGAATTGTTATAATAGAATAAATAGTGGAAGACAATATTGCTAACAATACATTTCTGAAACAACCTATACCTTGAAATGATACTATTGGAGCGTCTGTCAATAATAATTCTTCCACCTGAAAAATAACAAAACATACTGAGCATAGAATGCAAGAAGAGATCAGCTTCAATTATAATATTCTGATAATACAATTGAAGACAACAAATGCAAATATGGACCGTATTCAATGAGCAATCAAAGAGGAATTCAGAGAAACAGAACAACGGGTTATTCAAGGCATATAATTCTGAGTGACAAGGTGGCCTATTATGACCTGCAGAGCAGGGAAACAATCAACATACTTACGATTACCCAACAAATAATTATTATCTTGGTACATGTACACATTGCTAAACTAATATATGTGACTAATATAATGGTGTATATACATGCGAAGCTATGGTATAAGAGATGTAGTTGTGTAGGTGTTAATAGTTTATTGGTGTAATCATTACATCCCAAACATCATCAATTAACGAAAATAACAACCATGAAATACTACATTGTAACTATCTTACCCCTGTAGTATACACTGCAAACCCATCATATATGGTATATTGTTGTCCAGGTGTTAATGGTTTATTGTTATACCCATTATATTCCATACCATCACCCAGTATAAGTTGATCAGGGATTTCATTCAGTGGAAACGATGCTGTAATATACTGGTTATCTTCTAAATCACGCTTTCTATTCTGCGTCTCCTCTTCCACAACAACAATATAACTCCTGAATAATGAACAAATAAGATAATGAATGATGCTCAAAGCAATTAATGCTTCAGATTCTAGACCCTATCTCTATTTGGCTGAATTAATATTTAGGACAACTTTGAACAAACCCTGTCAAGGCATGTCTGAAAAATGGCAAGGAATGCATAAACTAAAGGTTGGACATTTGTCATCAAATCACTAAGCAAAACATGTGTGTTGTTCAAAAAAACTAA